AGTAGCAGCGATCAGTCGGATTCTATTTTATTTTCATTCTTTTGTTTAAGAGAGGTAAGTGACGAATGAGTTGAATATTTTTACATTTTGGATGTTGTTTGGTTCCGAACACTATGTGTTTGTTTAATTGTTTCGTATTATGTTTTATGCTTAAACCTTATTTTTATGTGTTGTAGCTCTAATAAGATAATTTTAGAAATGAAATTGTTCTTATGTGTATGTTATTTTAATGGTTTTTAGAAATAGAAATTCTTGAATTTTCATACTACAATTTTTTACAGCTTTGGTGTTTGCGAAAGTGAGTTAGTATATGGAAATCTATGCTACCAATAGTCGTGTTGTGTTAACTATTTAATTTCGGTGTTAGTGAAAATTGATTCCATATAATTGAATATTGTTAATCATAGCACATCGTATAAATACATTGCTACAACATTATCATAGTAAAAAATGCCAAATGATAGTCACAATTATTAAACCCTTAATTTATTGCTCTCATGAATGTCACTGCACTGTTTGATAATTCCATCCTGATTTTATTAATTTGCTATCTTTTTGTTATCATTTCAACTATATATCTTTTTTATACTCATCAATACAACTCTTTTGTGGTATTCGCTCTCTGTGGGTTCGACATCCGATGCTCTTGTAGCGTACACTTTACTACTTGATATACGATATGTGCACCTACATTGAATGTTGTAACAATTTCGTAGCATCAAGTTTTTGACGCCGTTGTCAGGGAACAATAATATTGCATTAGAATTTTTTTTATTTTAATTTTTATTGACTTTGTTTATTTTCAATTTGTAGGTATCTTCTTTTTTTCATTTTATATTTCTAGTGTATGACATGCAAAGACGATAAAGATTAAGTGTCTTTTGATCCCGAAATCGAATGTACATTTTTTCAACTCCATAGACAAGCAATCCGTAATCAAGAAAACATGAATGTTGGTGATGGTAACAATGCTTTGCCATCATTATAACATTGTGATAATGATTTGCCAGTTGGAAATGGAGTTAATCAATCGACCTTCTATAACATTGATGATTGAACACAACTTCTAAATAAACCCAACAATACATGCTTGATTCTAAGGCTTTAGATCTTTCAAATTTGAGACCAAGCCTCCATCAAATTTGGGAGAACAAACCTATGACCAACTAATTCTAACCCCTTTTGCAAGCTTATTTTCACCCTTCTAGAAGAACCTAGAGCATATTTGATTGATTTATTTAATGATCGTGTCCAACAGCATCACTTGAGCACTTCTGAAATTATCGATACTATAAATGACAACACAAATAAGTTGAAGTATATCAACATATGAAAGGAGAATAGCCTATCACCCTTGCAACCTAACAACAATCTTCTAAACCAGAGGAAGGCAATCCCTTATAGACAACCTTTTAGCAATAAGAGGAAGACCCAATTGATAGCTTGCCACCATATATACCAGTAGTCTCGTGAATCTCCTGCAATGCGCATCCTTAATGTCAGAGGGAAAAAGCTCAGATTTGCCAGCATTCAGCTACAACCCTAAAAAATAGTATGAGGCTTTAAAAACCTCTCATATGCATAAAATAAAACTAATAGTGCCCGTAGAGAACAACATATCTTCAGCAAAACAAATATTAGTAAGTTGGACCTTGGTAGATTGGATGATATATAGGATAACAATACTCCGTCACTCTATCGAATAACTTTGATAAGACATTCATATTGATTATAAAGAGGTAGGGGATAATGACCCACCTTGTTTAACCCATTTTACCCCTTTAAAAAAATCAACAAGACTACCATTGAGGGAAATAGAGAAAGAATGAGTGCTAACACACTCCTTAATCTAAGAGATCATCACTTAGGGCATCTCAAGCGTCTCTAACACAACAAGCAAAAAAACCTCAATCAAATGAATCAAAAGCCTTTTACAGATCTATTTTTAAAGCACACCTAGGAGATAGAGATACGCAATTATAACCCTTCACTAGCTCTTGAGTCATAAGGGTGTTATCTATAATAATTTGGATAGAAACAATGTCACTTTAACTCCTAAGATAACCTCAGGAGGAAACTCCTTAAGTCCAAACAATAAAATACAAGTTATGCATTTGTAAACAACATTGCAACACGAGATAGGCCTATAATCTTACATGTGACTAGGGTTAGTTTTCTTTGTAATAAACACTAATGTGGTCGTATTAAAGGCATGCAACATTTTTTAGCACTCAAAGAAATAAAACACAACCTGAGAGACATCTTCCCCAACTATGTCTCAAGACATATTGAAGAAGTTAGAGGAATAACCATCTGGACCGAGAGCCCTATCAAAGTCCTGAGCAAACATGAAAGCCTTGACTTATTCTTTAGAAACGTTTTTTTGTAAATGATCCTTTGCCGCATTATAAAAGGTGACTCCCAACAACTCCTTAAAAATACTAATAACTATCCAAAAGAGTTATTATTTAGAGCCATTTTACTTAGGTTTATGCTTGTACTTTAGCATATTAGGATCATATTTAGAGCCCTTTTAGATAATTTTGCATTACATATATTGTTAGGAGTGAGTTGGTAATTTTTTGGATTAATTATGATATTTTGTTGTGATATTGTTACCCTGATGTTCTGACATTCTCTGATGATGCAGATATTATTGTGTGTTGGTGCGAGACATGATTACTGGACCATTGTTATAGTAATGGATGCATGGGCAGAAAGCTATTGACAGTTGGACAAAATCTTATTATGGAAAGAATTGAAAAGTAGAAAGAAATCTTAAAGGAAAAGTAGTCTTAATTTAATGTGGGCTCGAAATACACTTTTTATGGTTTTTAATTATTATCTAAAAGATACAGCAACCACTAATTAAAGAGAGAGTTTTTTAGGGTTTATTTATTCTTTTATTTTCTCCACCGTTTGTCATGGTCGTTTAGGCAATTTTAAGGAAAAACAACAGTTGGATGTGAAGGCAAAGTTAGCATCGAGATGTGGTGGCTAGTGATCAACGAGAGCATCAACGAAACAAAGATAAAATAATTACGATAAGGGGTTTTATTTTTGTTTAGTTGAAATACTTTTAATTTGTTTGGAATTTGTTAAACCTTGGATGCTATATTTTTTAAATATATTTTGAGTTTCATGTTAATTAATTTTTTCCACTGATTTGATTGGCGTTTTCTTGGTTTTATTAAGGCATTTAGTATATAAATATATATTTGTAGAAAGATCTTGCTGACTGATTGTCGCAACATCCTTCGTAAATTTGCATCAGTGGGTATAGAGATATATCATTGATGTGAGTTTCTGGGTGGAGCCATCGAGAGAGGAAAATCTGTTAAGTTAATGCTAGACGCATCAATCGTATTATTGTGGCATCGTTAATTGCATGATTGAGTTTAACAATACCATAATATTTAGCTTGAGTCAATCCACTGCTTTCATTGACACTGTTGTGATTCCCTTCATCCCTTAATATCTTTATTCGCATATTTATTTTAGCTTTTGTATTTTTATTGCTTTGTTTACAACATCACCTACACAATTATGTTATTTTACTTAGTTAATGTTATAGCAATTCTCTAAGTAATATTTTAATAGTTTTTTTGATGCATTAATTTGCATCCACTTTATTACTTGATACGATATTGTATGCTTACACTGATTGCTGTTACATTATTTGAAACATCAAGTTTTTGACACCGTTGTCGGGAACTAGTGTCATTACTTTTAGAATTGTTTTTTTACTAACATGGTTTCCCCCCTTTTTTAGGTATATTTTTAATAGTTTTTTCAGTGCATAAATCAAAGAAATAATCGATAGAAGGAGATCAACAACAAGAAGTTCTTAATGCTAGAATAATTCTACCTTTGCAAAATATTATGATTTTGCAAACTTTTCACAACGTTGATGACAGAAATAGGCTAATCCGAGAATATGTTGTACCCATATTGGATGACTTAAATCCTGGAATTGTTCGACCGACCATCCATATTGCTAACTTTTAATTGAATTTGGTGATGTTCCAAATGCTGCAATCAATGGGGTAATATGGCGGAGCATTTACCGAAGATCCTAGAGCACACCCTAGAGCATTCATGGAAGTGTATGACTTATTTTTACAGTAAGGAGTACCTGAAGAAGCCTTGAAGCTGAAGTTGTTTCCCTACTCACTCCGTGATAAAGATAAAGCATGGCTTAACTTGTTGCACCCAGTGCTATAACATCCTGGAATGAACTTGCTCAAAAGTTTTTGTTGCGATTCAACCCTCCCAACATGAATTCTATATTGAGGAACGATATCACATCATTCAAGAAATTGGAGGATGAGAACTTGTATGAAGCTTGGGAGCGATATAAAGACTTACTACAGAAATACCTGATGCATGGTTTCCAGCATTGGACACAAATAGAGATATACTAAAATGGACTTAACATGCAAACAATGATGGTTGTAGATACCTCTGCCAATGGAGAATTATTGGATAAGTCCTATAACAAAACTTATGGTATGTTAGAGAGGATTTCCAACAATGACTACCAATACCCCAATACAAGGGTTATGTCAAGTAGACATGTTACTGGAATAGTGGACAATGATGCTATGAATATATTGACTACACAGGTGACAACATTGACTGAAATAATGAAGAGAATGCAAAAGCATGGAGGTATGTATTAGGTAAAAGTTATATTTTTTGTTTATTGTGTTTATTGTGGTGCTGACCATAATTTTGAGAAATGTTCATAAAACCCCGAGTCTGTCTATTTTGTGAGAAATTACAATAGGAATGAAAACGCAAATACCTATAGGAACATATACAATGTTGACTTTCGCAACCATTCTAACATATTTTGGCAAAGTTAAAATGTTGTCAATCCACAATAATAGCACTATAATAATCAGTAATAGCATTGTCAATTCCAAAAGTACAATCAGTAACAGTCGATGCCTCATCATTAGACACAACATACTAATCAGGCCACACTGTCACAATAAATGCATGATTATAAGGGACATTCCTCAACGCAATCCACCGATTTTACATCCCTTGAGGCCTTAATGAAGGAGTACATGGCAAGACAATCAGTATCACTAAGAGCTTTAGAGAACCAAGTTGAGCAATTGGGAAATGCATTGAGTAGTAGACAACAATGGGTGCTGCCCAGCAATACTGAGAACCCAAAGTTACATGAGAAACCTCCACGTAATGAGTATTGCAAGGCCATTATAGCTGGAAGTGATCTTCGCATTGGGAAACCTATTGAGGACCCTAAGAAGACTATTGATGACCCTAAGAAGACTATTGATGAAGAGGCTACAAAGTATGACAAAGGTAAGAGTAATGCTACCAGATATTGTTCCAACCCCGATTCCATAACAACCATAGATAATGTCACCTTCATCATTACCCCAAAGATTCTAGAAAAGTAAGAAGGACTGACAATTTAAAAAATTCATTGAAGTATTGCGACAATTGTGCGTCAACATACCATTGCTGGAAGCATTGGAGCAAACGTCGAACTACGTCAAATTTATGAAGAAAGTGTTTTCCAAGAAACATACGATTGGTGATTTTAAGACCGTTGGACTCACTGAAGGGTGTAGCACCATTGTCACGAGTAAATTGCCTCAAAAATTAACAAATCCAGAGAGTTTTACTATTATTTGCACTATTGGCAATCAATACATATGTAGAGCTTTATATGACTTAGGCTCCAGCATTAACTTAATACCTTTGTCTATTTTCAGGAAATTTGGAATTGATAGAGTACAACCACAATAGTTACACTTCAACTTGATAGTCGATCCATTATTTATCCTGAAAGAAAGATTTATAATGTTCTAGTACGAGTGGATAAATTTATTTATCTAGTGGACTTTATTATTTTAGACTGCAAAGCCGACAAAAAGGTGCTCATAATACTAGAAATACATTTCTTTGCTATTGGATGAACATTGATTGATGTCGAAAAGGGAGAACTTACACTGCACCTCAATGACCAACAAATTATAATCAATGTGTTCGACCCACTACAATACGATGAATAAGAAGAATGGCATGTTGTTGACATTGTTAAAGCAATATTACAAGAGTAATTAGGTGAATGTGGGAGCATTAAAGAGCTGTTTAATATTACTGTGAAAAAAGAAGACTCAAACGAGCTAGAGGGAAACCAATGCATCTACATTGATCCTGGCATCAATTATAGTTCTACACTAATAATGTCGACTACAAAGCTGCAGCAAGAGCACCTGAGGAAAATTGCAAATGTTGTCACGGTGAAAAATGATATAGTAATGGTTAGGACAAAAAATAAAGGATTCACAAGGCTTTGACGATTAGGGCTCTCATCTGAAAATTCACCATGTGAAGCTGCAATATCTATATGGCTTTAATGAAGAAGTGCGCTTCATGACTGATTCCAGTAGGAAAGAGTTTTGTTTCGACCAATGTTTTGATCCCACAAGTGCAAAAGACTTGAAGCCATATAATTACGTCACAACAACCATTGACAAGAAAAATAGGATACCATCTTACTGGGACCCAGTAGAAGTTACCACAAACAGCCATTTCACTATGTGAAAGTGAATTTTTTTACTTGCTTTCAATAAGTCATTCATGACATTAGGATATGTTTTTTATTGGTTTCATTTAATGCTTTTATCCAGAGTTTTTCTTTTTCAAGTAATGCCCCCCACTTTGATAATTGCATCATCCTCGGTTTCGTATTGTTGTTGTTGCCTTTGCTTCACAACATCAATTAGAGCTACAAACAATCATTACTACCAGTATCTTTTTGCATTTCAAACTGCCATTGCTACAGCGTTAGAAATATATCCACACATTTATTGTTGCGCAACATCTTCAACAGTATCAGGGGAGATTGTTGTGCCTTTTTCTCATGTTTTGTTTTATTTTATTTTGTTTTTTTCTCTTTGTTTGTATGCATTGAGGACAATGCACATCTTAGCTTTAGGGGTGTTGTTCGTCTTGTCATATTGTATTTGTTATGTCACGTTTTGTGTTTTCCATTGTTTGTGCTATTCATTCAAGTTTTCCATGACATTTATATAGATAATCAATTTTCGAGACTTTGCACTTAACAATAATGAAATAATTGCCAAAAACATTTTAATGTCGAGATTCTTAGAATTTAGAGATAACTTGAGGTTACCTTAATAATTCTTGTGATGCCATAACTTTTTACCGAATGTAATGCTTGGTTGACTTGTTGGTATTTTGGAGAATATTTAGTTATCATGCATGTTAAAACAACAAAAAAAGGAAAATTGAAAAAAAAAGAATAAAAAAATTTATCTAAGTTTTTGTGTTAATTGCTAGAGGTGCCCAACTGGCTATAGCCGAATAAATTGTTCATAGCATACTTTTAGCTCTAGAACACTCCGATGCTAAGGCAAGTCTGGTACGCTTAGTGAATACTAAGTAGGAAAGATAGTTTTGAATATTATGAGTTAATGGAAGTCTTCAACTCTACCTAAAAGGCTAAAGGGTTCGTTGTTGACAACATCTTGCTACTCAAGTACTTGCATGTAGTTGTGATTAGCTGAAGATCTAGTTAAGCTAAATAGTAATTGTTGTGACATTTTTTGCCTATTTAATTAATTTGATAATTTTATATTCTCTGCAAATACCCTTAGTGGTGAACCTTCTCGACTAAGAGCACACACATACACGAGCATCATAAGTTGATTTCTTGTTATCTTGAGGTTTGAAGGTGATTGGCAAAAAATTAATGAGGTTTTGAGGTGACAAGTGCAAAGCAAGAGCAAAAACAATGTTGTCTAATTGCTATGAGGAAGTTGTTGTCAAGATTTATTTGAGGACAAGCAAACACTTAGGTTTGGGGGTATGATAACTCTCCAAAAAGAGTTATTATCTAGAGCCTTTTTACTTAGGTTTGTGTTTGTACTTTAGCATATTATGATCATATTTAGAATGTTTTTAGATAATTTTGTATTACATGCGTTGTTGGGAGTGAGTTGGTGTTTTTTGGATTAATTATGATATTTTGTTGTGATATTGTTACCTTTATGTTGTGACATTCATGATGTTGTGACATTCCTGATGTTGTAGATATTGATGTGCACTAGTGTGAGATAGGATTGTTGGGTTATTGCTATAACAATCGATGTGAGGGCAGAAAGCTATTGACAGATTGACATAATCTTATTATGGAAAGAACTAAAAAGTAGAAATAAATCTTAAAGGAAAATGAGTCTTAATTTAATGTGGACTTAAATTCCACTTTTTTGGGTTTTTAATTATTATATAAAGAATGCAACGACCACCAATTAAAGGGAGAGCTATTTAGGGTTTTATTTTATTCTTTTATTTTCTCCACCGTTAGTCATGGTTGCTTAGGAAATTTTGGGGAAAACAACAGATAGACGTGAAGGCAAAGTCAGCATCGAAAGGTAGTGGTTGGTGATCGACGAGAGCATCAACAACAACAATGATAAAATAATTTTGAAAGGGGATTTTAATTTTGTTTAGTTGAAATACTCTTTAATTTGTTTGGGATTTGTTAAACCTTGAATGCTATATTTTTAAATATATTTTGAGTTTCATGTTAATTAATTTTGTCCATTGATTCGATTGATGTTTGCTTGGTTTTATTAAGGCATTTAGTATAGAAAAATATATTTGCCCAGTCCACTGCATCGAGAGGTGAGTGTCACTATGTGAGCACTGCATCGAGAGGTGAGTGGCACTGTGTGAGCACTGCATCAGTGGTTACGAGAGCAACATTTCAGTGTAGAGAGATCTTGTTGAATGATTGTTGTAACATTCTTAGTAAATTTGCATTAGTGGGTATAGAGATATAGAATTGTTGTAAGTTTCTGGGTGGAGCCATTGAGAGAGGAAAACCTGCTAAGTTAATGCTAGACGCATCGATCGTATTGTTGTAGCATCGTTAATTGCATGATTGAGTTTAACAATACCATAATCTTTAGCTTGATTCGATCCACTGCTTTCATTGCCATTGTTGTGATTCCTTTCATTGCTTAATATCTTTATTCGCATATTTAATTTAGCTTTTATATTTTTATTTCTTTGTTTATAGCATTACCTACACAATTTTGTTATTTTACTTACTTAATGCTATAGCAATTCTCTAAGTAATACTAGTCTTTGCAGATACGATACTCGATGCATTAATTTGTATCCACTTTATTAGTTAATATGATTGTGTATGCTTGCACTGATTGTTGTTACATTATTTGAAGCATCAAATACTAACATTTACCCCCGAAACAGATTTGTCCCTTGACCCAAACAGTTTTTCAAAGAACTCATGCGTATCCAAAAGTTAACCCTGCTCATTCAACAAAGAATGAACCATCTGCCTATTCAGTCTAACAACTACCATAGAATTGTTTTATTTTGTGTATTACTTTTCTTGATAATAACCGAAATATGAAGTGTCTGTCTAGATTCAGATTACACTGGCTATCGTAAGAGATGTTGCATCTATAACTCGCTTGGTCATTGAGGCCATTCTGATGCCCTTTCTTCCATTTATATACTTTTTGCCTTTTCCTTTCTCATCTAATCCTCCTTAGATTTGGTTGTGGAATTCATAAAGAAATCTGGGTAGGATGAACAATTTTTCCTTCTTCCATTTATAAATCCAAGGCCATTGACAATAATGAACAGTATCATATGCAAATCTTTCACAAATGAATTTTGTTGAACTAGTGTTAATGGATTTAAAACAGGAATTTGTTTAACTTTTGTTTTTCAGTAAAGGTTCTGTTAGTGCCAATACAATGTTATTTTTTGAAATAAAATTAATGTTCTATTTTTCGTCACAGTCAATGCAGAGGTTGTACCGAAAGCCACGAAAGTTGATGGGGTTTACGATGATGGTCCTAGATGTAATCCAAATGCTCGTCTTCATGATAACCAACTTATCATGAAGAGACATCTAAAGATCTCTGTCATGGACATGACAACCATTATTACTCTGTGCCAAGAAAATAACATTCCTGGTATGTTTAAACTTTTGTAAGCTGCATAGAAACCAATGTGACTTAGAAGTGGCTTATCTTTTGGATTTGTAAACTGAAGGGAATATGAGTTAATATATCTAAGTTTCTTTCTTTCTATCAATGAAGAACACAGAACTCAGCGGTGGCAAGGACATGAAGAAGATATTCCCTAAAATGAAGCGACTTCTCCTTAGTTGCATTTCCTGTTGAGAAAAAGGGGTATATGATAGGTTTTTCATTGGCATTGCTCAAGCATGCCTCGAGTTTTCATTTGAAAACCAAGACCAAAATCATGATTATCATCATTGCTGATTTCATACATAGATGCGTTGAATGTTATCTTATTCGGACATTGTAGTAATCTCAATCAAACAAGTGATTCTTCAATGGCTTTCGACATGTTTTTGACCAGATTGTAGTAAGCAGTTGTGACTTGCAGTGGCCCCAGATTGTAGTAAGCTTAGGAGGAATAGTCATCTGGTTACACAAAAGAACTGCACTGATAAATTCCAATGTCATCACAGTAGAAGCTATTACTGAATATTCTGTTAGTTGGAACTTGAAATTTCAACACCAAACTTGGAGTTCCAACTGGTGAGGGATTGAGAGAGGGTGATGGAAATAGAAAATCTGGTGATCTTTCCCCTTTTCTTCTTCCTCTTCTTTTCAAATATTATGAACTGCTTCATTTTCTACTTAAGAATCACTAATTTTAGTGAAAACAAGTAAAATGGCAGGAAATATGAACAATCATTCTGTCATCATAAACAGTCTCCATTATTCAAAGAAATTACCAAACTTTACAATTGAAATTCAAATCCAAATACTCAATTAGAAGGAAAAAAAATACTTCTTTATAATGCTATATATGAGATAAGGTTAGTACTTGGCATTATAAACATTATTACAATTTGATGAAGCCCTTGAATCTGATCTCACAATAGAATTCCCAAATCTGTAGACCCAAAATTTGATTCGGATATTGAGAAAGAATGGCTAAAAGTTCCAAATTTGAGCAAAAATGTCAGAATTTGGAGAAGAAATTAGTGGCGACATCATGAATCCACTTCCATGTATCATTGGGCTCCAGTCATGCCAAGGCGACATCATTCTCGCTTCGGAAGTTGGTGTAAAGAAGGTCCCCGTCGATACTGCCGGCAACGTCTCCGGTGCAGGCGAAAGTATCCCTGTCGGCGGTCGAATCAGACCCTCGTCCATCCCACCTTCCCCTGTAATCCCCGAGTCCACTATCTTCTCCCTCGGGCTGGGACTCGCTTTCTCCGTTACTGCCAACCTTGCAGCCGGGGATACGTCACCGCCGCCAGAGAAGTCTCCGGATGAAAGACCCGTGTAGCGTTGGACGATGGACATGAACTCGGATTCGTTGGCGTGGATGACTTTGGGTGAGACGGCATAGATTATTACCGGCTGACGGCGTTGATCCGCAACAGCGGCAGCAGCAGCAGCTGCCGGTTGGCCAGAAGCCGCGTGGGATGGTGGGTGAGGCGGCTTTCTGATTTTATGTGAATCTTTGCCGACTTTTAGAGGAGCTGGACGCGGACCTTGGATCTGAAGCTGACGCTTTGGGGTCGTCCCGCCGGTGGGAAATTGAGAATCCATGGCTGATGATGAGCGGCGAAGAAAGGGTTTTTTTTATCGGGGAAGAGAAGGGAAAGAGAGGACCAAAACCGGTGGTAGATGAAGTGAATCATTTTTGTGGCAAAATTATTCGACTTTGGAAAACACCAAGAACAAGGAAAAGTCAATGCAATTATTATTTCTCATTCTCTGCTAAATTAATTAACATTTCCCCAATAGCATTCCGATCTTGAGAAAAATGCTGCTAACATAATATCTAATTTTAATCATAAACAGAATTTCATTCATTATTTATCATCTCCGACTATGGGATTTGGGAATTACAGATCCAAATATTAATCTATGATTGCCTTTTATTTTTATTATTCTTTGTTCAGACAATGATTGAAGTGATGATCAATCATAACACAATAATACGCGAGTTATTTTCGGCTACAAAGAGTGGAGGGTTTAGGTGGAATTCTAACTAACCTAATTCTAATTTAATGTTAAGGAAAGATGCAATATCTAATATTAAAAAAAATAAAATGGTAACTTTTGTTCCTATAATATATTTAATTTATTAATTTCGATCTTATCATATTTTCGCATCAATTTAATTCTCGAAATTACTCAATTGTATCATTTTTAACATACCCTCAACTTAAAACCCTAAACTATAACTATATTATCTTTAAACCCTAAACACCGACTTAGAATTTATAATTTAAGATTTTAAGTTAAGGGAATGATATAGAATGATGTAATTAAACAAATTTGAGGACTAAATTGATACAAAAATACGATAAGGGTGAAAATGATAAATTATGTTTACTATAAGAGCAAATGTGACACTTAAGCATAAAAAATATAACATTTTAGGTTGTGTAAAACCTAAAATGTTAATTTTTTCTTAATATTTTCGATTGCACACATTTTTTTATAACACTTTTGATTTTGACAACCGAAAATGTTATATTTTTAATAATATTTTTAGTTCAATCGAAAATATTACAATATTAAACTTTCTAAGTTGGGTGTCACCTAAAATTTTATATTTTTTAATAGTTTAGGTTACGTCGGCTCCGATTGGTGGGGTTGTCTCTCACAACTCACGAGAGAATATTAGGGGTGTGCAAAATTACCGAACCCGGTTGACTAGATCCGTCGACCCGGATTAAAAAATTGGATAATTTTCTGAAAAAAATTACCCGGCCAGGTCGAGCCCGGATCACAAAAATTGATTTTTCCAGGTACCCAGTTACCCGTGTACCCGGTTAAATTTTTTTAATATATTAACTCAGCAATAGCAACTGTAGCAGTTTTACTCGGCACTCAAACTATGGCGTTCATATACATCCATTTGTGGAGCACCCACTCGCAAAGGTACTCCCTGCATGAGAACAGTTAATGGAAACGGAAGGTGTTGGCAACATTGATCACCGATCGGTCGAGGCTAGTTGGTCCAAGCATTGATTGTCCTAGAGTATCCATTTCATCTGTTCTGTGAGTGAACCAAAGGATTAACAATAATATTATTTATCTATTAACTTTCTGTTGGATTGTGTATTGTTTTATGAGGATGCTCTGTTGTGAATCTCATTAATTTTCTGTAAATGTACAAGTATAAATTATTTATCTATCAAAAAAAATTCGGGTATTCGGGTACCCGACATACGGGTATCTGGGTACCCGACATATAGGTACCCGTAAAATTCGAGTACCCGAAACATCCGGATAGGGACACGGGCCGAGAAATCACCGTTCCGGATGTTCCGGGTACCTGGATTTGCACACTCCTAGAGAATATTATAACATATAAGAATCAGTTTCATTTCCTAGAGATTCATCCATTAATTCCGGCCTACTTGATTATTGGGCCAAATTGAATCTACAAGAAGATATGGATTGCCCTGGGAAAAGCCCTATGTGTTTTACTAAAAGGTAGGGCTGCGATTTGGCTTGCCAAATAATGAATACACAACATCTCATAAATAAACTATTCAAAAAATACATAATAAAATTTGTATGTACAACATGAATATATATTTTATTAAATTAGATCACAATATTAAATTATACAAAATTTAAGCTGAATAAATACACGATATTGTCACAACATAAAAAAATTATAACGATAACCTGATATTAGGATTGACATAATTAAATTATTTAAAATTAAAACTAAATTAACACAATATATAACAAAATTAAATATTAAATGTGTCATTATATTTAAAAGGTCACATTCACTACTTTTGTTAATAATTCATCAAAAATAGACTAAAATGAAAAAAAATTAAAAAAGTGACTATTTTTATTAATAAATTTAACATTAATTTCGCTTTCTCACTCCACTCCTACTATATTGGAGAAGAGAGAAACATGGGGATGGAGATATATAATTATAAAAACACTAATTAGCAAATTAACATATCGAATTCGAAACCATCAACTTCAAAATACGACGTTTCATGTGATGGTTAAAGTATATCCCCTCTCTCTCAAATAAAATCCCAAATCCATCATTAAATTTAATGATTAAAACAACTCTCGTTTCACTCACGTGAAAACGAAACGTTTTGCAATGCTACCCAGCATCATAGCCTCATGACACGTCCCACAAATTTACAAGCAACGATTTGCAGTCCAAAAACCCATCAAACATCAATTTAATATTTTCAATTACACGACATGATAGCTTAAAGGTTAAAAATAATTATATATGCCCCAAGATTTTAGCCATGGAATCATCAGACATCCCACTAATCTACAACCATCAACATGCACTCCATTTCAAATCAATGGATTTATTAAGAATTTTCTGTGTGCGGTAATTAATGGTTATTTAACTACTTAATAAATATTGATTAAACGTTAAAAAGAATCGAGGCATATATGAATAATGGAGAATCGCAAAAGAAAAAGGGAGGGGGAAGTGTTGAAAAGAACCAAATCCCATGGCTTTTTCAAACCCCAAATCCAACACAAGCAGATATTGTTTATAATGGTTGTTAATTGTGATTAACAATCCTGGATTAAGGGTTTCAGTGCATTGGGCACCTCTGTTTTATCGTCTTGTATGTGTTTGTTTAAGATAATTATGAAGTTGGCGCATAGGTCAAATCTATCTGCCTTCGCTTTCTTCTTTTTAACAATTTTTTCTTTTTCAGATTGTGATTCCAATCCCTTTCATTACTTCCTGTGGTGAGGAAACCGATTTGTTTTCATGCTAATTAAAGGGTCTAAGTGTTGAGATTACAGTCAGCAAAGCAAACTACATTTCAGCAATTGTGGGCACTTTGGCCTTGTGTTGTTGCTTTCCCTTATTGAGAGAATTAAAAAAACAAACTTAAAGAAAATTCTTATTCAATTGATGAAAACCAGATTGTTTACAAAGAAACAATAGTGCTCTATATATAGCACTGTAAAGGATCATATA